CAAGTTTGAGAACCGCTGCTTGAAAGGAACCCCTTGGAGACCCTCTTCTGCCTTCCAGCCCCTGATTAAACTGCTTTTCTCCCCAGGGAAAGCAATATGAAAGTCCGACAGGCGATCCCCGTGACGTCGGAGCTGAGCGACACCAGCCACCTGGCACACTTTGATGGTAAACTGGAGTATTATTATTATTATAATTAGTGTCATTTTCCCTACCAAGCCAATGATTTTTTTTTTAAAAAAAGCAGCAGCTTTCTAAGATCAGTTGCATGTTATGGCTATGCAGTCCTCGGTTAATGTCCATTCGTTCAGCAACCATGCAAACCTGTGACGGCGCTGAATGAGTGGGACTTACGACCAGTCCTCAAAGTTCCAGCCGTTGCAGCGCCCCCTGCAGTCACATGATCGCAATCTGGATGCTTGGCAACTGGCCCAGATTTGTGACCGTCGCAGTGTCCCGCGGTCACATGATGGTGATTTGCGACCTTCTCTGTCAGCTTCCCACAAATAAATGCAGTGGGGAAGCCAGAAGGAAGTCATAAGTTGCGGTCGTGTGAAGTCCTTGCTCAACGACTCGTGTGGTCCTCGCTTATCAACGGCAGCCGGGGAACACCAGAACTGCCGTCGCTGAGCAGCACAGTCCCATGACATTGTGCTTTACAACCGTATCGCTTAGTGATAGAAATTCTGGTCCCCGTTACCGTTGTTAAGCGAGGTCTACCTATAACTGATCTTCCCCTTGGCATCTTTTTAATTTTAGGAGAAGTGATTTGCGAACCCCCCAACAACAAACTGGACAAATTCAGCGGGACGCTGTACTGGAAGGAGAGCAAATACTCGCTGAGCAATCAAAATATGTTGTTGCGTGGTTGCGTCCTTCGCAATACAGAGTGGTGCTTCGGCCTGGTCATTTTCGCAGGTACGCAGGGCCGGCGGTCCCCCGTGCAGCTCGCAAGCAGGGACGTGGTATGAGGCGGAAAACCGAATGCCCGTTGGGGCAGAAAACCTCTGGTCTTAATATCAGGGGCTGAACTGAATAAACGCGATCGAATCGCGCAGGATATTTGGGGAAAAGGTAGCGAGAAACTTCTGGATTCAAATATATACACTGATTCAGAGGATTTTAAAGATTAATATACCATGGAAACTGGAGGGGTTTGGGGGGGGATGATGAACCAACAGGTGGAAAAAAAGTCATGGAACTTTATTTTTGCACACGCGAGGTTATTGTACGCACAAAGACGGAAAGATTTGGCGCTACCCACCGTGGAAGTGAAGTCGATGGAACTTGCTGAAGTGGCTAAATTGGCTTCTTTGATCGGAGAAAAACCAATATCTAGGTTTCTTGCTGACTAGAAACCCCTGATAGACTTTTTGCGCAAAACGGAAAAAAACGAACTTACGATTTACGGTTTTGATGATGAGACCGGAGAGATTATAGAAAGAAGAGAGTTATGTGTTAACCACTGAGTAAGAGGCAAATTTATCATTGTACAGTGGAACCTCGGGTTATGAACGCTTCTGTTAACGAACTTTTCGGGTTACGACCAGCTCCGGCCGCAAAATTTTGCTTCGTTTTGCGAACTTCTCCTCGGGGTACGAACAGGATACGCGGCCATTTTCCCTCCCGTGACACGGTCCACGGCCATTTTTCTGCTCCTGACACGTGGCCTGCGGCCATTTTCCGCCCCTGACACGTGGTCGTAGGGAGGGGGACTCTCCCTCCAAGCAA